GAGCACAAGGCTCGGCGCCGTACGACCCAGTCTGGTCGCAGGGTCTCGAGGGAAACGATTGCATTGGCCAATTATTTGTTTGGTCACTTGAGGTCAGAGGAAGAGAGGCGGGGAAGACTTGACAGGGTCGCAGAGCTGCGAGGGAGGGACGCCCCAGAGATTTGGAGTGGAACACGGCCATCCCTGTCGCGTGGTACATCGGCTACGTGGGGGAGGGCCACTGCCAGTCAACCGGAGACACGGCGTGTTCATGAGTTTAGTTCCCGCGCTTTCTGCAGCGCTTATTGTGAGGAGTTGATGATTCTCAGCTCAGATCTACAGCCATGACATGTTTGCGAAAATCATGTTCCATAGGGGGCGACAGACACCGTCAGTGCTTTCTTTTTAGCATCAGAGATTGAGGGTGTGGCTTGCAGGATGACGATACCCTGGGAGATCAATGTCTCCTTTGCGGTATTAGCAAGTCCCTCCAACGAATTAGGTAAGATGAATATGGGAACCACTCAAGAGGTGACAAACGTGATGAATGAGGCAAGTCGCGTAGCTTTAGCAGCAACCCTCTCCTGTAGAGAGGCACGAGTGGCTTCCCGAAGAGAATATTGCGATGCCGCCGGAGACTTTGAGAACGCCGAGGCTTACAAAAGACCCTCATGGTACTTTTGCTTCTCTTTTGGTTCTTATTGAGTGCATAAAGGCTAGCTACACTTGTGGAAGGAGGTTTCAATATGGCTTCAGCTGACGGATGTTTCCCTGCATGTCCCGGGGAGACGGTTCAGTCAGCTTGTGACCTTGAGCCGAGATGCTGCGAAGAGCAAACAAAGCAGAGGGCGGTTCCGTGGGCCAGCAGTCGCTCAATGCAGAGATGAGAGGGATGATGAGGGAAAGGCCGAACGACGGGAACCAAGTGTCACTGGGGATGAAGAGAGACGAATCACGTGTACCATGCAAGGGCATTTAAGGTTAAAATTGGCGCCAACACGGGCCAGCTCGTAAAGAGCCAGCTGGCAGTAAGCTTCCTATGGCTCCTGCCAGCTGGCGTCAGTTTCCTCTCTTCTCGCGTCTTTCTCTCTTCCTTCGTCCTCTTCATCCCACTTCACATCATCCTCAGAGCTGAAGTCGTTCGCAGTCGTCGCCGCCTCTATATCTCACACGCCATCTCCTGCAGCTCTGAACCATGTCTCATGCCGGGAACTTTTGTGCGTCAAACTTGCGTCAAAAAGAGAATTGTGCCCGCGACATGGAGCGGCAGTAAAAACGAAGGCTGGCTGAATATGTCGCCAACCAACTGCGCTTGATCGATAGGTTGTGCCGTGAGACCAGCCCGCATCTATCTCTGCTCCCGGATTAGATTGATTGCGTGGCAGGTCTGTGCCGCTCACCAGAGCCATCGTTCAATATCCCCTCACCCAGCATCAATGTTGGTCTTCGTCTTGGTGGATTTCCTTCAAGCGGCCGTCCAGGGCCCCTGCAATGACACCCCTCTTTACCAACGACCCTCGATATCTCGAATTGGTCGGGTATCGGCATGCACAGCTCTCGTCAAGGACCAGTCGAATCATGTCTACGCGTCGGCAGGTTTCAATCCTCCTCGCGTCCCGTTCGGGCAGGAGGATAAGGCTCGCGCTATATAAAAGTCGGCACGACCACTTCCTTGGCTTTTCTTGGTTTTCTCTTGGAATTTTCTTGGGCCTTCACCCATCCCTCTACGCTCACATTTTGGCTTTATCCTATCAAACGTCCTCCAATCATTTACGCCTTCTCCGCGTTTGAGTCCCTTGGCGTTTCTGGCCTATCTCTGCCAAACTTGCTCTTCCTACAGAGGCCACCCCTCACGAGCCGACTTATCTCATTCTGTCAAACACCACTTACGGCAACGGCGCCATCATCTCAGTGCCAACGGGCTAACCGTTGTGCTGTTCGATAGCATCGATCGATTCGCAGTGGCTGGCGTGGCCCGTCTTGTCGTGCCGCAGGTGGCGCTCAATGGAAGTCTGATCGAAATGGAAGGTATTCTGGAATAAATCCAGAGAAGGGGGCGTCCAGTTGATGGCCGCATGTCGAATGCGATTCGTCAACCAACCCTGGGCTTATCGCCATATCTCGCCAAGCAGCCAAGCCTTTTGGTCCAGCAGGCCTCCATCGTCAACTCTTCCAGTTTCAACGCTGTTGGCAACAAGTCGGCAGATTCCGCTCGATATTCGGCTGTCCGTGCAAAGGTGCTCGTACGAGCTGCCCTCTGGAGATTGGGCATCCAGCCACGCCTGCCATGAGGAAGTGCTGCTGCACAGCTCCACGAATCTACACCCACAATCCGGCCGCAATTGTTCCGTCGCGGAGGCCGCTCGAGTCTGGATGAGAGACCCCTTAGCATGCAAGTGCATCCAACCTGCACATGTGTGGTGGGTTCAGAGGACGCCACGCGCATCGCAACACTGGGACCAGTCTTCTCCCACGAACTTCGTTAGAACCGGGTGATCACCTGCTTTCCAACGTTCTGGATGAAATGAATCTGGTGTTTCGCCACTGAAGAAGTGTTTCGCCATTTACACCTGCAGGCCGTGTGTGGCTGCGCGCATTATCAGTGGCATCGCCACAGGATCGACGACTACCTGCAACATCGCGAACGGTAGATGGAACTCCTCAGTACTGGCTATTCATCGCGGGGTTGAGAAACAGAGACCAGACATCTCAAGCGGGATGATTGCCACCCATCTACGGTCGCCGTATTCTTCTCATCCTCTGTCACAGGCTGATGATACGACGTCTCTGAAGGGGCGGAGGAAGTCCTCGTTTGGGTAGCCAAGACCTCGCATTCCGATACCTGCAGCAGCAGACAGGGCTCAGGTGCAGGTGTCCCCTTTGTCCCATGCGCAAACGATGCTCCTGTCACTCTTGGCGCAACCGCCGGCATCGATGCAGCTTTGGGAACACCAGCACCATCACGACATCCCGAGAAAGCTTTCGCGAGCATCGAGGCTTCGCGTTTACACCGAGCCCTTCTTGATCGTCTGATATTCCCGTTTATTAGGAAACCGTACGATTCACGCGTTTACATACGCAAAGCCTTTGCTTCTGATGATTTCGACGAACCTTTCGGTGGCCCTTGGGAAGTGGTGGCTTGCTTTTGGATGTCTCCGTTGGCTCACGCATCGCCGCAACTGGTTTGCGGGCTACGAGAGCCTTTGGTGGGATGACCTGAATCGGGAAGAGATTGGCGACATATCGAGCTTGCGCAATCATGTCAGCCTGCTGTGCCAACCTCCTTCTCCTTTGGTGCAGCCATCGTACGTCAGAGCAAGATCTTCTCAGTACCAACGAGTTGGTACTGGAGTGACATTGTCTGGGTAAGTGTGTACATAAACCATGTCATCTCAACCAGCTGGATGCCGGTTCGGGCTCGCCACGATAAGGGCTACGAAGTTCCAACCTGAACTGAACGAATGATAGCAGTCTAGATAGACCAACACCTTTACTGGGCCATATCAGCGATCCTAACCTGTGCATTAGTCTCGTGCGGCCGCAGTTCGGTTCTTTCCAGGAAGAGTGTGGCAACACTACATTGTTCTACGTTGCCTTCTCTGCAGATATGCTATGCAATGTATCATGCTGCCAGCCGGTCGATTGTCACTTCATGTCAGAGGATCGACGTCTGGGCACATGTCAATATAGCTGCACATATTTCCTTATGTATCATTACCGTCCACGTTCGAGACCGAGCCGAGCAGCATGTACGTAGCTGAGGGTTTATACTTCATCATGGAATAGACGAACAGTAGAGGACCGAAGTTTGTTTTGGTTCTGAAATATCAATCTCGAAAGCGGATACAACCGATAGTGGATAGCAATGGACGCGGCTCTGATCCCATTTCGAGCCCTTCCGGCTTTGAAATTTTTTTTATCTTATTTCTTGGATGCCTTTCATACTGTCGTTCTGAAATGCGGCCGATGGTATGCCTTGCTATGGCCGAGCGCGATGCCGGCTTCCTCAAATTGTCGACGGGATGATGTCTAACCACCATCCTTGTTGGTCCTCTTGACAAACCTATCAACTTCAATCCAGCCAAAAGCAGTGAAAGACTAAGTATGATAACTACACTATATGCTTGATAACTAAGCTCCCGCTTACTCACTCCGCACGCTTCGGATAGGCTGAGCAGCTGCAGCTCCTCTATCAAGCTTCCAACAAACGTGAGCATGTGGTTCAACTGCTCACTATTCAACCTCGCATCACGATCAACAGCCGCGGTACTTTGAATATCCCCCGCCGAGGTTCCGGCTCATAAGAAGCTCCTCTACGATAAGCGAGCTCTTGCTTCTCCCCTACTAGCATTCGGGTTTCAATTCAGGGTTCTCGGCACCCGCGGCGCCACCGGAAAGGTTCGAGCATCTAGACGAACACAGTGTACGCTGTTGGAAATCGGGCACCCCGCCTTGGAGATCGTGTGTTCTATGGTTTCCAAGACTATAGTGTCTCGAAGTAAGCCTCGTGGACGCAGGTGACGTCTTCCCTGGGCAGAATAGCCTCTAATCCTCTGTCTCATCAGGAGTCTGTTCTCCAAGGGGTTCGTAGACGGCCGTGCGTTGGTGTATTGTCTTCTTTTAGAAGTCGGCTACGTGTAGATTAGTCAGTGATGTCATGGCAAACGTGCATCTTATCTATACATGTATCGTCCGATCTTAAACGTGGTTTGAGAGGTGTCAAACGATTACCGAAATAGTACAACATATGTTTCCGGTCCGGGAAATCCGACTGATCTAAGCGTCCCTTCTCCGGCTTCTTTTCCACAATGCCGGGGAGAAACAATTGTGTTGATGTCAAGGTTTTTCTAATCGCTGTACGTGCCTTGTAAAACTCATCGCAACCCAAGCTTTAGGATTCGACATGCGGAACTCTTTTACTTGAGGAGGTTTATGAAACAACCTTCTGCAGAGGTATATTGACGTTACATCAGACGGAATTTCGATCCCACGCACGACTCGATTCGCAGGCTCGTCCCTTCTCAACCCCTTCCGGAAACGACACCATACCTTCCCAACCCCATCGCCGCACCGAGCAGGATCGCAAAAGGCGCGGCTACACTATAGTACCTGCCCCCAACATACGCCGTGGCCGCAACCACGATCCACCAAGGGTCGTCCCCCAGACTCCTCCCCGCCTGGAACCCCTCGTCCAGATACCCAACCTGCCAGATCCTGTACACCGCCGTGTAAATCAGCCCAACAGCCGCGGCATTCACGCCCCTGACGGCCGCTTTGACCCACGGCCTGCTCCGCAGCACGCCCCAGACGCCCATCGTGCCGTGGACCAACACAATGCCGGGGGTGAAGATGCCGACGAACGCAACCACCGCACCAGCCAGGGGCGAGCACCCCGCGTTAGCCGCGGTGAGCCCGCCCAGGAACACGGCGAAATTGAAGTTGGGCCCCGGGAAGGACTGGGCGATGGCGAGGCCGATGAGGAAGTCGCGCGGGGAGACCCAGGTTTCGGCGACGACGTACTCGCGCAGCAGGGGGATGACGACGGGCCCGCCGCCGAAGATGATTGTGCCAGCGAGGTAGAGGTTGGAGAAGAGCCGGTAGAGGACGGGCAGGTCGGCGACCACGCCGCGGATGATCATCGCTGTGAGGAAGGTGGCGAAGAAGGTGAGGATGAGGGCGGTGCCGGATTTCCAGGAGAAATCGAGGCGGAACTCCTTCGGGATGACGCGGGGCTCTGGGGCCGTATTTGCACCGGACAAGACGGGCTCATCGCGGGTCGGTGCCGATATGCGGGTTGCGGGAGACGGGCCGGCCAAGTCGTGCCCCTGAGCACCGTCGTCTTGTGACCTCTCTCTCCTCCTCCCGCCCAGAGCCCTCAACACCCCGATAATTCTCCTCGCTGGGCGGTGAACCCAGCGGTAATCATGTACAACAGCCGCAACACCCGCCGCGGCCATCAACACGGGAAAATACCAGAGCGTATTGTACATCATACCTGCCGCGGCGGCAAGGAACACGAGCGTGCGGGTGAGTCTATCAGCCACGGCTTTGTGCGAGAGCTCGACGGCGGCAAGGGCGATTATGCCTACCGTCGCGGCATTAAGGCCGGAGAGAAGGGCATAGACGGCACGTGGGAGCGAGGTGCCGATGCTGGAGACACCGATGGAGAGGGCGTACATGCCCGCTGCGCCCGGAAGGCTTTTCGAGAGAAACAGGGTTAGACATGGGCCGCGAATAGGGGATTGATCTTCCTCCCTCTCTTGGACATAGTATTCTCACCTCCAGATGAAGAAAGCCAAGACGGCACCAGGAGCTCCATGTCGGATGAGGTTGATACAGTATACCATCTTCGTGCTCGCCGGGCCGGAGAGAGCCTGGGAGATGCTGAAGAGTTCTTGGTACTATTATTCAAATCAGAGGGGGCTCGAAGTCATCATCGGGATCGCGAGGGTTGTAACCATTTGCTCGTCGATCCATTGTAGGCGTTTCACGAATCGGTCATGCAGCTGTGGTTGTCAGTCAACGTGTACGACTGTGCAACTTCTCGACGAGGATCGTTGGACAGACAATTTTGAAGTGCACTGGTGGTCCCCCGAACGCCGTGAGGCCGAGGTGCCAATTGTGCTTGAAGATGTCGGCTGCATACTCTGCCGTTTTTCGCAAACGGCTTTCCACGGATGGGGAAAGCATGCTACAAGGATAACGCTCTGGATTCAGGGCTACATCAATAACATTCGACGCCCCTATTCGCATCCTTTCCCGGTTGTCTGTGCGAAACTTCCATCTCCAAATGAACCTTGGATGCGCTGTTGTCGGTCAATTAGGTTACCGCGCACGCCATTTCCCGTGACTGCCAAGACCGAACCATCCCTCTTCGGTAGGTGAAGAAGAAAATAGCCAGCATGTGCCCAAATTCTCCGGCAGCATGGACTCGGGCTGAGTTATGAAACTTTCTTTTCAAAAAGAAAGGCCTTCGAGACTTTCGACAGAGCTCGAATCTGTTTGTTTGTCTTGCTCGGCTCAGTTGCCGTGCAGATCGTCATCAATGATAGGGGACCGAGGACAGGGCGGACATGTGAGACCAGACAGAATTCTTCAGGGCCAGATCTTGATCCGAAATTCCAAAGCGCCGTGAGCTATTTTGGGGATTCTAAGACGGATCGGCAGGGTGGAATTCCTTTTGCACAGAATCGGGAACGGGCTATTGGGGCGTTAGACATTATGATGTACGATTGAAGACAGCAAGCAGGGGGCTGTTGCTGAAGAAACGCAATTGTATCAGACATCATCTGCTTTCATCCGAGACTCTCATGGAATGCTTCTTTTCATGATCTCCGACCTGCGCCTGCGTTTGACGGCCCAGAGCCGCAACAGAAAGACGCGTGCGATGCTGAGCGCCAAGGCCAACAGTTCGGCAATGACGCCAGACCACGCAACGACCAAGAAGCGCAGCCCAATCGCGGCGTCTGCGGGGACATCCGGGAATTGATTGAGATAGCGCACGAGGAAGCTGGCGTTGGACGTCAAAATTGAGGCCGAGATGACGTGAAAAGCCACGGGCAGCGCCAGCACACCAGTCCTGAGCCACGGATAACGCTGCTCGACGCCACCGTCGGAGAAGAAGGCGAGACAGCTGAACAGAACGGGAGACACGACGTCGGCTACGAGTGCAAGCACATAAACGACAAATGCCGGGGCATTGTTCAGACGCAGCGGCTCCGCGGCATCGAAAGCTGCGAAGAAGGGCTGGCTCGCGCGAATGCAGGATTCGGTGGCCGATGCATTTAAATGTGTAGATTGGCAGGTGTCCATCATGTGGCCGGCGCGGTACAGCGAATCAGCGACGTCATGCAGTACAGCTGGCATCTGCAGCGGGCGGAGGGGCTGGATGAAGACGTAGTTGGCGGCGTCGCGGCGCGCGGTGTTGTTCGCAAGCCATTCCCATGCGAAGGAGTCGAGGAACCAGTGCATTCTGGCTAGGTAAGGAGGCGCATCGCCGGCGGCTGCGGCGGCGACGCCTCGGAACTTTGATGGCGGTTAATGGTGTGCTGGTTCTCCAACGGTCTGCCCCCTTTTGGGGAACCTTTTGAAGGGTCCGGGCGGCTAGTGGCAGCGCTTACCGAGACCATTGAGAAGGGCTTCCCGCGCAGGTCGGTGGTTCCTGGGTGGCTGCCTCTGAGGAGGCTGGTGCCGGATATCATGAGCATCAAGACGCAGGCGATGGCGGCGAGCTTGGCCGTGATGAAGGCGCATTTGGCGGCGGAGAGCGGGGCCGTGCTTGGGGACTTGTACGGGGCCATCGCGGACGGGATGACGGCCGGTGTTGCGCTTGACGCGATAGAAGATGAAGCTTGGCCGGAGCCATGATGGTGTTTCCTCGAACGCTCTTTATAGGAGGGTACTTGCAACAACGACGATTTGTCAATCGTACTGGCGGTAACTGTTGTATGCGGGTGCAAGACAAAATGCGAGAATTGTCGTGATGTGATTCCTCACCGTGAGGTCTCTAAGGTAGGTTAGTGGGTGATAGCGATAGGGCTTACTGAGGGGCATGTGAATACGGCTTCGTATCGCACAGCGACCTCACCAACTGGGCGTAGGCTGCATCGTGTTGGTGCTGATAAGCTTCATAGCGGCTCCACGTCCCCTCCCCAAACACTTGCTTGAGGCACCCGAAGAGGCGGTGTCAGCCAAGACGAGGCAGCAGAGATAAGCATCTTCGCGGGACAGGCTCAGATGAGGATGGCAGGTCCTCGTGGATGATTGGAAACGGCGGGCTCGTTTCAACAGAGAGGCTGAAGGTGCTTGACCATTGTCTGAGGATGTCTTAGGTAAGCATGAAGCATTTGAGACAGCACTGGACTGGAGTCTGGACGGGAGGCACCTCAGGACCTGCGGGACGAAACAAAACGCGGAGTATGGTTATTCCGGATCTGGTTCGCACCTGATGTGTCATCACGTGGCCCCGACCGGACTTCCCTGAGTGCAGTGGAGTGTGATGTGGAGGGAAGGCAGTGCCCGGTTCAGTGGGGACCATCGTTGCTTCCCTGGGTGAGCAGTGGAGTGCGGTACTTGCGGGCAGTGAGTAGGTAGGTACGTACCTCCCCTAGGCAAAGGCACCTGGACGGATAAGCGAAAATGAAGCCTGCGGGCAAGTGGGCGGTTTCCAGAGTTTCGACGCGTCTGGCCGCTCTCTCCTTTTCTCTCTTGATCTTTCTTTTTTCCTTCGCTGATTTCCGCAATGTCCGAGTGGATCCCTCAGTTGTCATCACCAACCGGCAACAATAAGAGACAGAGTCAAGTGAATCAATCCTGTTTGTGACAGTTGTGTGCCTGTTGGCTGTGCATGTTTCGCTCAGGTTTCTGCAGCCAGCGCCTGTTTATTCCGCGGACCAACACCTGGGCTGCATGCTCTTGCCTTGCCCTGCCCTTCCAGGCTCTCCTGAGTCCTGAGAGGAGTCCAGCGGCAGGCCTTCACACCCTCAGCGAAAGGGAGGGTGCCATTTCCAGCATCGCCTGCATTTCGTCCAATCTACCGCTGAACATGAACAGCATTGATCCCAGTGATCCCCCGACATTCGACAATCGTCATCTTTTTGCAAACTCTGGTTCAGTGGTTCTCGGTGTCGCTCCTCATGAGCATGTGCACAGTGCACACACACACGCAGTACTATTTCTACGAATACCTTATTCAGTTACCTGCTTTAGTGTGCCTACTATGTAAGGTGTAAGGTGTAAGGTATTGCACCATCAATCAGCGGAACAGGCCACCACCACCACCACCAAGTCATCGCGGCTCGTCGCTCGTCGCTCATCGATCGTCGCCCGTCGCCCATCACCGCATCGGAGTCGTCGTCGCTAGTCGGCGAGCTAACGCAGGCACAAATTGTAATTTTACAACTCATCACTGATAGCCTCACCACCTGAGCTGAGCGGACTGCGGAACAGAGTACGTACCCAGATGACAGTACCGCCGTCCCGCCCCCAATAAAGGTCCAGACTTGCAAACCCAGGAAATTGAGGGCAGCAAAGACGCAACGAATCTTGCAGTGCTGATGAGTGGATGAGTCCACGACTCCAGAGTAATAAAAAATTAGCATCTGCGCAGCATCCGTCGCTGCCCGTCTCCACGTCAGGTCCGGCCGCCCGCTTGAACCGCTGTGCCGCTGTCCGCACCGTCTCTCATCTTCCTCTCTGGGCCTTAGCAGCGCCTCTCTCCCGTGTCTATCAGCACTCTCATCGCTGATGATGGTCTTTCCGTCCAGGAGGATCACCCTGACTTTGACTGCCCTGACCTGACTGCGTCTCCAATTTTTGCATGTCCAGCATCCCAACCCAACCCAACCCATCCATCACCCATCCATCCATCCTTCCATCCATCCATCTCATCCCGTCCGCATCGGATCCTGTTTTCCCCTCCTTCCCTTCCCCCCCTCCACCCCTTTCTGCATTCTGCCCCGTTTCTTGGTTTCTTCCCTGGTTTTCCTTGACGACACCGCCGGCACGTTGTTCGTCCTGTCTCGTCCCTGCTTTCCTGGTCCTTGTTGGTGCACTTGCTGTCGTTGATTGTTCCTCATTTGCTGCTGCTTGCTTAGCATCCATCAATCTGCCGTCATTTCGCCTCTGCCCAATTGCCGTCAACCTCTGGACCCTCTCATCTCCCAGAGTCTCCAGTCAACCAGACTTCCGGCTTCAGACTTCACATCCAACCTGTGCTTTGGTTTGGAGTCTGCAGATAGTCACCAGCTGGAATCCTACCTTGCCAATTGCCCATCAGCTCGTCAATCGACCATCGCCGACGGCATCCTCACACTTTGACACTCTTCGTCCGACCTCCGGCTCCTCCAATCCTCCTCTACCTCTACCTCTACTGCGTACCTTACCTCATTCTTACGCTTATTCTTCCCTCTTCAACCCCCCTTCTACTTACAGCCCTATCCTGTCCGTGCTAGAGGCCGCCTGTTTTGTTTGTAGCATTGGATTTCTTCTCCAACCAACTCCGGTCCTTCTTCACAGCCTACCTACTACTCGGACCTGGGACAGACTTTTTCTGGTCTCACCTCTTCTCCGGACATTGACGGCACAGTCGCTCGCTACCTACGTTTCTCTTCCCTTCGCCGCTCACGGACGTCCCTCCTTTTTTGCTGTTTCTGTACATTCACCACCACCCAAAACAAAAGTCATCAACATTCTTCGCCAATCCCTCCTCCCCTACGGTCTTACCTGCTACCCCTAATCCGAATTGAACAACACTCTGAACTCTGAACCCGTCCACCGACCGCGGGATCGTCAGCAGGGCCCAGGCACACACGCACCGCGCTCCCTCAACTCACTTCAACTCAAACTC